GACGGTAAGGTAGTGCTAGCTAGGGAACTCGACTGAGGTGACAACCGGTCCTTCGATTCCTCCGTCCTGAGCTGTCTTTCCAATGCAGGTGACCTTGACAAGCTCGTCAGGGACTCCTAACATGACGAGAACTCGGCAGAGGGTCTGTGCAAAACCTCCAAGCTCACGTAGGTCGAAGGTAAGCTTGGCATGGTCCAGAGGTAGCGGTCCTAGAGGCGGCCATTCGTCGTTCGTTGCCATCTGCATGTTTCAAGGATCAGGTGTTAGCAGGTCAATAAATAGATAAGCCTTGCATAGAAAGTAAATGCAGGGTCGGTATATAACCAAAAGAAGGGCTGTTCACGTCCTATTCTATCGTCCATTTCTAAGGGTTTCGTCCTATGGTCAAGTATGGCTCTGATACCAACTGAAACGACCCTGATTTTCGCGAAGGGAAATCCACAGTGTCGAAGTGTAATAAGACCGTTGTAGATCATATTACCCCAAATTCTAGTCGAATATCACATCCATACAACGATAATATCAGAGTACAAATAGTGCGGAATTACATAAATTTATTACATCGCCGCATTGGTGGAATTAAAAGTAGCATTCATTCAGAACAGATTGAAGATAAGATCGCCAAACTCGAGCGTAGGAACGAACCCCTCAACCGTCCAACTCCTCGGAGCTATACTCCTCAGCAGAACCTGTGTGCCAAAATTTATCAGTACGATTTGTACTGGCCACTCCCAACCCTATGAGCATTGCTTTGTGGAAATTGAATGCAAGTTGGATATACTCAAAAGGAACCTATAAGGCTGGGGTTTCCTATGGTTTTAGCATATCAAGTACATAATAATAGTTGGTCAAGTTTTTAACACCATTCTCACACCCATTCCACCCCACTCCCATTCCAGAGCCAGGTTTCGATCCTGGAATCGATACACCACCATCTCCACACCCTCTACATACCACACCCATACCATCGCTCAGTCGATAGGCCAACTCCCTCTTGGCACTATCTCAAGGCCCGTAGCCCCTGGCTACGTCCGAACACTTGCTCCCAGGGGGAGAAGAGAAGGACTCATCTCACTATCTAGTTTAAGCGAAACCTAGGAAGGGTCCATAGCCGATGAGTCGGCATATGTATCGATCGATCAACCATACACTCTGCAGAGGTTTTACATAACCACAAGATCCTCCTTCCTCGCTGACCGTCGTCAACTGGGCTGATTCCGGCCGCTTGCTAGCCTAGGATAATGCCACTCTACCATTCAGCCCTGGTACACCCCAAGTCTGGTCTAGGGTGGCTGAAACTGTGAGTCATGAGCCAGGTCCACAAGGTCTCCATGAAGTCTTGGAAGGGTGTGGGGGAAATCCTCCGCACCCCGTACCTTCCTCACACTGTCCGCTATCAACCAAGCAGTAGTGGCAATATCCCACCAAGTAGTCCGGCCGTCCCACACCATATAGGGCGAGTGGTACGTAAGGCTTCCCGGTGAATCTGAGTACTAGTAAGTCCTTAGGGATGACCAAGCCAGAATGTCTTCATCAGGGTTTCCATTACCGTGCCACCACAGCACCTCCACCCTAGACTCCTCCCATCACAGGATCACACCCAGGGCCACCTCATATACCATTTACCCACCACAGGTATCCATTCTAGGGGTGCCCAGGTAGCACCCCACGGCAAGACTTGCCCTAGGCTCATCGTATACTCCAACTTGGTCGACACAACCCTCACCCTCCATGCACCCAAGTCAAACACGCAGCACTCTCCCCAATCACCAGTTTCCACCACGCATCAATATAGTGCAAGCGTAGTAGAAGTATTAAGCAATGAAATAGCAAGCGTGTGACTAGCCTAACAGCAGGGTGAGCAGGGGTAAGGTTGCGTCAAGGTAAAGGCCATCAAGAAAGCTTTCTACCATGCAAGTCCTATCATAGTGTGATTACAACCATAAAGTAAAGCACTAGCATTTCTATTTTACCCATGCGTAATAGGTGCTACGAGGTTGGGTGGGATGTGGCACCTTCAGTGTAGTCGTCTCCGTACTCCTCACGGTACTCACGATCCTCGTCCGTCCGGTTCTCCTCCGAGTCTGTAAACGATCGCATTATAGTCGCGTTAGCGACGTCTATAGAGTAGCACAAAGAAGCAATGAAAATTCAAGAGAGCCAAATGCACTCAAACATGGGTTCATTGCGTAGAGCTCGATTTTAGATGAATTTTGGTCCTGGTTTCGTATTTTTTTGAGGTCATATGAATTAGTTATGAATTTTCAAAGATTAATTCCATTTCTGAAAATGAAAAAGGCTGAATTAATCCTGGGTTGACACGTGTCACGCTGTGACTGGTCCACGTGGCATGTTGACATCAGCATGACGTCACCTCGGCCGTGCTGCTACTGACAGGTGGGTCTCGCGTGACGTCAGCATGACGTCATCATCTGACGTGTGGGTCTAGTGTGTCTGTGCCACTGACATGCGGGGCCAGGTCAACGGTTGACGCTGAACGGTCAACGGTCAATACGGGCCGGGTCTCATACGGGCTTTGGTGGGCTCGGGTTGGGCCAGTCTGGGCTGGGCTTTGGCCCGCCACGTGGCATGCTGTGGCGCTGCCACGTCACGGCCTTGGGCCTCCACTGGGCTGTGGTCTTCGACTGTGGGCGTGAGCGTGGCTCACGGTGGACCAAGAGGCGCTGGTCCATGGACCGCAGACAGGTCTATAGTGGTTCGAGTCCACCCTTCATCTCTTAGGCGTGGTCCATGTGCACCGTGTTCACGCGTGTGTGGCCGGCGAGGGGAGTCTTCCCTGCTGTCTTGCCGACGTGTTCCCGTCGGCGACGTGCTCACCAGCGAGCTCCCGCAATAGCTCAGGCGTCTAATTGAGGTGGGGAAAAGCCTCCCCGCACCATGGCGACTGCAATGGTGGGGTCAGGACGACGGATGGTGCTTCCTAGGTCACTAGCCACGGTGAACGGTGGCTCGAGCTCAACCGGCGTGCGGGGGTGGCGCGGGTGCAGCGGCATAGGCCGGTTCTGTGGTGCGCGTGAGCGTCATAGTGCTCCAGCGGGCATGTTGGGCAGGTCGAGGGGTCCTCGAGGGCCTCTGGTGGCCTAGGCCACGGCGGCGGCCTTCCGAGCACGACGGCGGCGTCGGTGAGGTGGCTACGGTCACGGTGAAACGTCCCGATGGGGGTGTGTAAGCTTCTATGGATTCGTGGGGATGCGGCGAGGACGTCCAGCCTCAAGGCGGGGTTCGGGTTCTCCTGTGGCCGGTGGGGGTTCTCCGGCGGCCACGGCGACATGGTGACGACGGCGAGGCGCACGGGTGCACTACGGGGCTCCAGCGGGGTGGTCACGGCGTGCGCGTGAGTTACCCGTGGCTCCAGCGAACAGGATGGGCGAGACAAGGAGACGCCAGGCGCTCCCAGCGGACCTGGCCACGGTGGTCTGGTGCTCGGGCCGGTGGTGGTGGTGCTCTGGCCGGTGGTCTGGTGCTCGAGCCGGTGGTGGCCACGGTGGTCTGGTGCTCTGGCCGGTGGTGGCCACGCCACGACGACGGCGTTGCGAGCGCAACGAGCGAGTGCTCTGCCTTGGCGTCCGTGGGGCTTGGAGGGGTCTACAACGTCCAAGGGCTCGGAGGTGGTCGCGGTGTGCGCGTGAGCGTGCTGTGCTGGTGTGCCTAGAGACCGGAGATGACCTTGGCCTACGCGCTCACGGTATGGAGCGCCATGGCCGGCTTGGTATGGTCCAGCGGCGAGCAGAGGAAGAACCGGGGCTCACCGTCGGTGTTGAGGGCTTTAGGATAGCGGTGCAGTGAAGAGTCGAGGCCGTGTAGCTCCGGAAACCGTGCCGTGCAGTGTCGCCCGTTCTGGCTTGATCCGCGGCGGTGCTTCGAATCCCGGCGTGCTCCCGGTCCTCTTCCCGGCAGCGGCTCCGCCCTTCTCTCCCGAACTCTTCCTTGGCCTTCTACTCTCAGTGTGAAGTGGTTGGCCACCAAGTGGCGGCGGGCAATGGGACGAGCCCTAGGGCAACCGAGGACCGAGCTTTATAGCCGAGCTTCATGCTCCCATGGCGGACAGCGATCGAGTGGTGGAGACGTGTTCGGTGGCATCCAATGGCTCGTGTGCGGTGGCGTAGGCGCGGCGCAAGGGAGAGACAGGGTCATGCCCCGGGCGTGACCCCCTGTCCCGCCCTGCCACCGCTGTCGGGCGCCGGTCGCGTAGGCGGTTGAGGCGTGGGTGAGGAAGACGACACTGTGCTGGAGTGTGGCTGACGCGTGGGGCCCGGTGGCAGCGGCTGCAAGTGAGACGGGGAAACGCGCGGGCGTGGGCGACGTGCGGCTGACGCGTGGGGCCAAGTGGCAGCGGCAGCTAGCGGGGTTGTTGGGCGCGCGGGCGAGCAGCGGCATCCTGGGCTGGCTCGCTGGGCCGTGAAGCCGAGCGGCTGGCTAGGAGGCCCACTTCTTCTTTTTCTTTTTTCTGTCTTTCATTTCTTTTCCCTTGTTTGAATTCAAATTTGGTTTAGAATTTGAATTCAAAACTGATGTAACTTATTCATTGGAGTTTAGGAAATTTTGTTTAATATTAACTTTATGGTTTATTACTTTAATGGAATTGTTTGGCATAACATAAAGTAAATGGAAATCCAAATCACAACTTGAATTAACAACGTACGCAATACTTTATTTGTTAGAATTTAAATAAACATAATCATTAAATGACATGCCATGCTTATGTGTTGATTTGAGTTGGGATTAGACCTAATGCATCCCTTCGGTTGGGTTACTATACATCACACTCATCATTACATGGAAGTTCTAAGAAAAATTTTGTAGTTGGTATTTTCGATGTGTAAATTTTTAGGTTGTTACAGGGGTGCTCGGCGAAGCTCGGCGGACACATCTCCGTCTCGGGCAGCGCGACGGGACGCGACAGCAAGTCCAGCACCTGGCGCATGATGGGGCGGCTGCTGGGCGTCGCCTGCGTGCACGCCAGCCCCACCTTGATGTACCGGAGCACCTCCTTCTCCGGGTAGCTCCCCATGCTCGCGTCCACAATGTCTAGCAGCCTGCCTTGCTGGTATAACTCCCATGCCTGTAAAAAAAGCACACGAATGACGCGAGAGATTCATCAGTACAGAAAAGCCGGTAACGTGAACGGAGAACCGAGACGAGAGTTCAGGGAACGAAGGAAGGACGCCTGACCTCTCGCACCAGGAACATGTCCGACTGGATCGTTTGCGAGATCCTCCTCCCGCTGACGATCTCAAGGACAAGCACTCCGAAGCTGTAGACGTCGGCTTTCTTGGTCAGCTGCCCATGCACGAAATATTCAGGTGCCAAGTATCCACTGCAGCCAGAGAGTTAGACTAATCACTGTCAGTAGTTAGTAAATTAGATTGTTTGTTTCGATTTCGAAGCAAGTGTCGGTAACAGCTTCACTAAAACAAACAGCATACTTGGTTCCGACCACTCTTGTGCTGATGTGGGTGACGTTGTCTGGGAACAGCTTTGCGAGCCCGAAATCTCCGATCTTTGGCATGTAGTCTCGGTCGAGAAGAACATTGCTGGCTTTGATGTCTCTGTGCACGATGTTGGGCTCGTGCTCCTCGTGCAGGTAGCTCAGTCCCTTGGCGGTGCCCACGCAGATGTCCGACCTCCTGCTCCAGGGCAGATTTGCTGCGGCTCCGTTCCCTGAACCTAAAGCTAAGATATACATAAGCGCATCTTGTGAGGAGAATAATGCGGCTCCAGCTTCCGATGGCGATGGGTGTACAGCTGTAGTAGCAGTGGTTCCAGATTGTATTGTATGGTTCACTTACCTTTGAGTGCATGATCGAGGCTGTTGTTCGCAAGGTATTCGTACACCAGGATCCTGTTCTTCCTCTGCACGCAGCAGCCCAGCAGCCTGACGAGGTTCGCGTGCTTCACTTCAGAGATGCTCTCGATTTCAGCGAGGAATTCCTTGATCCCCTGCTCGGATTCCGAGGACAAAACCTTCGCGGCAAATTCAGTGCCGTCTCTCAAAACCCCCTGTCGCAAAAACAGGCACATTTGTTTCAGCTGAAACCTTGTTGCTCTGATCTAGCTAGTTGTAGGTAAATTTGGAAAGAATAAAATATCCTGGGTCTTTTTACCTTGTACACAGTTCCAAAACCACCTCGGCCAAGCTTGTTACTCTGATCGAAGTTGTTTGTAGCTGCTCTGATCTCCCCGTAGGAGAACAGCCTGAGATTTTCCATCCCTAAAAGCGCTGTTCAGAAAACTAAGTCAGCTTAATTTGGATTCCTGAACTTCCATTAACAGAACCGCAGGAAGAGAAGATATTGGCAAACGGCAAAGCATCATCGATGAAGCAGGCAGTCAGGATTACGCACCTCTGAAGTCTTCCTCGGATCCACAGAGGCACCGCCTCACCAGCGCCATCTTCAAGCTTCGAGCAGCAGCGCCGGGGAGAAGATGGGTTCCCTAGCACAGCGCAGCGCAGCGCAGCGCGGCAGCCCGGACCGGAGGCATTAAATCGGCATGGTTGGGAGCGAGAGGAAAGCGCCGTGCAGCAACCTACTGTAGATTGTAGCTGTAGTGGTGTTCGACACCTGCAGTGTATGTCCGTCCGTACCGGCGGCGGCGGCCAACGCAGGGTCCTTCCTCTTCTGCACCGCAGCTGCACTGACAGGGGCCAATCCAGAATTTATGGCGGCAAAGCCAAAGAGTGTGGTGGTGGGGCACCGGGGGCTATGTGGGCGGCAATGAGTGTTGAGTGGTCAACGGGACGGGACGGGACGCGCGGCGGTGGACGAGTCACCTGTATGTAGGGATGAAAACGGATCGGATACGAACGGATATCACTTATATTATATTTGTTTTTATATTTTGTTTGGATTTGGATTCGGACACGCATAGCGTTCGGATACATATACGAATACGGATTGACTCGGTTACGAATACGAATAATGAGTATCAAATACGGTATAAATCGGATTCGGAGAAGGTCGGATACAAATATCTATTCGGATATTGAGTAAAAGTAGCATATATATATATATATATATATATATATATATATATATATATATATATATATATATATATATATATATATATATATCATACGTGCGCAAACCATTACACCACTCTATGAGTCCATAATCCATCTAGATTAAGCCGAAAGATTAAAGAGTAAAGCAACAAATAAGATAAAGATATGGATACATCATACATCAAACATCATACAAGCACCGATCTTCGTGGCATGAGTAGAAATAGCCAAGCTCATGGCTTCATGGGTCTCATGGAGTCATAGTCATGGATTCAAGATATACAATCCTTATATAGGCCATTTTTTTATTTGAGAAAGTTTAAACAAAATGTAGTTCAAATTTCACAAGTGTGTGACATAGTTTTAGAAAGTCTATATGAGATTCAAGAATTTGTGACTAGTGTTTGATAAAACTTTCTCAAATGGAAAAATGAGCTATGTAACAATTGTAGATCTTGCTGGGATGATCAAACTTGGTATTCAGAGTTTTTTCATCTGAGGTCATTTAGTGTCTCATTTGAGCAAGTTTGACCAAGTCAAATTTGGTCAAATGAAAAAACAACACTTTGGCTCTAATATTATGAACTCTAAATGACTTCAAATTGAAAAGTTTTGAATACCAAGTTTGTTCAACTAATCAAGATCTACAATTGTTGTTTTGGTCAACTTTCCATTTGAGATAGTTTGGATGGTTCAAATTTGTGATTTTTAAATTTTGATACTTACAAACTAGTTTTCGAAACCCTAAATTGTCTCAAATTGAAAAGTTTTGAATACCAAGTTTGTTCAGCTCATCAAGATCTACAATCCTTATATAGGCCATTTTTTTATTTGAGAAAGTTTGAACAAAATGTAGTTCAAATTTCACAAGTGTGTGACATAGTTTCAGAAAGTCTATGAGATTCAAGAATTTGTGACTAGTATTTGATCAAACTTTCTCAAATGGGAAAATGAGCTATGTAACAATTGTAGATCTTGCTGGCATGATCAAACTTGGTATTCAGAGTTTTTTCATCTGAGGTTATTTAGTGTCTCATTTGAGCAAGTTTGACCAAGTCAAATTTGGTCAAATAAAAAAACAACACTTTGACTCTAGTATTATGAACTCTAAATGATTTCAAATTGAAAAGTTTTGAATACCAAGTTTGTTCAATTCATCAAGATCTACAATTGTTGTTTTGGTCAACTTTCCATTTGAGATAGTTTGGACGGTTCAAATTTGTGATTTTTAAATTTCGATGTTTACAAACTAGTTTTCGCAACCCTAGATTGTCTCAAATTGAAAAGTTTTGAATACCAAGTTTGTTCAGCTCATCAAGATCTACAATCCTTATATAGGACATTTTTTCATTTGAGAAAGTTTGAACAAAATGTAGTTCAAATTTCACAAGTGTGACATAGTTTCAGAAAATCTACATGAGATTCAAGAATTTGTGACTAGTGTTTGATAAAACTTTCTCAAATGGGAAAATGAGCTATGTAACAATTGTATATCTTGCTGAGATGATCAAACTTAGTATTCAGAGTTTTTTCATCTGAGATCATTTAGTGTCTCATTTGAGCAAGTTTGACCAAGTCAAATTTGGTCAAATGAAAAAACAACACTTTGACTCTAGTATTATGAACTCTAAATGACTTCAAATTGAAAAGTTTTGAATACCAAGTTTGTTTAACTCATCAAGATCTACAATTGTTGTTTTGGTCAACTTTCCATTTGAGATAGTTTGGATGGTTCAAATTTGTGATTTTTAAATTTTGACGTTTACAAACTAGTTTTCGAAACCCTAGATTGTCTCAAATTGAAAAGTTTTGAATACCAAGTTTGTTCATCTCATCAAGATCTACAATCCTTATATAGGCCATTTTTTCATTTGAGAAAGTTTGAATAAAATATAGTTTAGATTTCACAAGTGTGTGACATAGTTTCAGAAAGCCTATATGAGATTCAAGAATTTGTGACTAGTGTTTGATAAAACTTTCTCAAATGGAAAAATGAGCTATGTAACAATTGTAGATCTTGCTGAGATGATCAAACTTGGTATTCAGAGTTTTTAATCTGAGGTCATTTAGTGTCTCATTTGAGCAAGTTTGACCAAGTTAAAATTGGTCAAATGAAAAAACAACACTTTGACTCTAGTATTATGAACTCTAAATGATTTCAAATTGAAAAGTTTTGAATACCAAGTTTGTTCAACTCATCAAGATCTACAATTGTTGTTTTGGTCAACTTTCCGTTTGAGATAGTTTGGATGGTTTAAATTTGTGATTTTTAAATTTTGACGCCTATAAACTAGTTTTCTATTTTAGAAAGTTTGGTCGGTTTAAATTTTGAAGCATTAAATGATTTCAAACGAAAAAGTTGTAAACAACAAAGTTTCATAACTTTTTGAGATCTACAATTTTTATTTTGATTATTTCTCCATCCAAGGTCGTTTGAATAATATCCGGATAATATCCGTTTAAAAATATCCGGATATATCCGATACTTAACCGGATTATCCGATATCCGCCGGATATCGATGATATTACATCCGTATTTGATATCCGCCTAAGATATCCGTTTTATTATCCGTATCCGAAAAAAATTAAGAATATCCAAGTAACTATCCAGATAAATGTTCATATTTGTTCGGTCGAACGGACGGTCGAATAAATATCCATACCGTTTTCATCCATACCTGTACATCCAGCCGGCCGGCTTGACCACCATGTTGACGGCGTCAGGAGGGCGACGACGTTGTTGGCGCCACGCAGCTGGGTTTCAGCTGGGAATCGTTTGCTGGCTTGTTGCTTCTTCTGGAATCTGGACGTGTCGACGAATTACTGATAGATGGCTGGGTGGACAACTGGCCATGAGACGTCGGCGTCGGAGGAACAGTCCGAGGTGAGCGAGTAGTCGACGGTCGACGCCGAGGTGTCGAGCACGGAGTGAGTGAGTGATCGACAGAAGGCGCGCTGGACCCTCACCACATCTAGCATGTTGCGTTAGGTGAGAAACCAAAAGCACGCTTGGATCGCGCCGAAATTCCCAGCCGCCAAGGTTTTTTTGGTTGACCACCCCTTTTTTATATTATTTTTGGTCAACTATTGATTGACCGTCACACCACAATCCCTGGAACGAAATAAACAGTACTCCTATGCATGTTCATCTTTTTTAAAAAGATTAGCAGGGGTGTTGCTATACCATATAAGAGTATGAGAGGATTTTACATATTGATATGACCTATAAAAAAGGGCGATGCAGGTTCATCTTAAAAATTTATTTCGACTAGCATGTAAGTTCATTGCTGATTGCTGATTGTGTGTGATCGTTAATAATAACAAGATGGGATTGATTGGACGGGATTTCGTAGCATAAATGTTCAACACAGGATTCAGTTGGCAAGATAACCAGCCAGGGTTGAAACGCTACTAGAGTGCCCAAGAATTGTCCTTTTATATGAAAAGTTAAGCCCTTAGATTCTAGCATCTCCGGCTCCCATTGCAATTTTCACTAGAGCGTTACTATTCACTAGAGCTCATTGCGTGTCAGTGAGAGAGGAGGAGATGAGAGAGAAAAAACAGATTTAATCTGCAGTGACTCTACATTAGTTATGTCAGTAGGAGCCAGATCCAGGAAATCCATACCAAAGAGGCCCTAACAATACCCCCTTTGTTTGAAATTACATGGCGTGCTTCATTACAATTAGACAAGGTTTTGACTTAAAATTAATCTACTAATAAATAATGTTTGTGGCAAAAAAAAAATGAAGTCACCTCCCTCATTATGTATTAGGGCAGCTCCATGGGCACAGACGGACCCTTGTATCTTATCGTTAGATGTTTATTTCAATTCCGCTGTTTAAATTCCGCACTCTAAATTTGGTATTGTAATAATGTATTTCCGAGAACTCTTGTTGTATGAAATGGACTAAGTATTGTAAACTCGTTCTCATTATTGGATTCTGGATGAAAAATATGGATTGTTCGAGTTCTCCTTGGGGTGTGCTCGACGGAACCGCCTGGTGTAGCTTACTTTCGGGGTGCTTAAAGTCTAGTGGAAGACAAGCGCCCCCGAAGATGTGTTATTTTGGATGGTTCTGCCATAATATGGTCAACAGTTAGTGCCTAAGAACACTCACCTACAAGAAGAGATAGCACAGTTAAACATGCATATAGTACGCCAACCTCAAAATGGTAGTCTGAAGGTGCAACCAACTCTAGAGGAAGAAATTAAGAAGGCACAACATACGGATAAAGATCTGATGAAGATTCGTCAGCAAACTAGAGAAAATAAAGCTCCGTAGTTTAGAGTGGATGACAAAGGAACCTTATGGTATAAAAATAGGATCTGTGTGCCCAAGGTAGGAAAGTTTTAAGAACTGATCCTTGATGAAGCCCATAACTC